TTTGATTTTTCCCTTTTTCCAGAGCCTTCTTAAAAGACAATTGATTAAACAGAATTGTCCCGAATATTCCATAATATTAATTCTGAGTAAGAACAGAGTTTTCAGGAACTATGATATCGAAATTATTATGAAAATGCTAATAATCTAGCCAAACCTCGTGAAAATCGAAAGAGATTTGCCCGAGTTATGTGGGTGGGATATTTCGACCTATGTATCAGTGGGATATTTTTGAGGGTACCATTTCACATGAATTTTGACCAAAAGTAATGTTTCCAGATAAGGACGCCAAACTAATGTTGAGGTCAAACCATGAATAAAAAGCCAAACTTCGTAAAAATCTGATGAGATTTGACCGAGTTATGAGAATGGGAAATTTCGACCTACATATGTATGTCTATATGGAGTATTTGTGGGTATCATTTTCACATGAATTGTGACCAAAAATAATGTAGTGAGATTTAAATGCAAAATTGATCTAGAGGTCAAACCATGAACATAAAGTCAATCCTTGTGAAAATCGGATGAGATTTTCCCGAGTTATGTGGGTGGGAAATTTCGACCTACATATGTCTATATGGGATATTTGAGAGTATCAAGTTGCCAGACAAAATTAAAAATATCTGCACAATCATAGGCAATATTCCACCATTTTGTATGAGGCGTGCATCAAATAGCTGTTGTTTCGGATTTGTTGTATACTTCCACAGTTTTGATAGATTCCAGCAGAAGATTAAGTAGACATGGTTCAAGAATTTTACAACGCTTCCTATACGCTAAAAACCTTCAAAACTACTAAGTATCGATGTACCTGTTCAACAATCTTAACTGTTTTCTTCGACGTGACAAAGTTAAGATTTCAAAGACTAACCATTTCGATTGTTTTTATAGTAATTATGCGAAAGATCAAATTCTTATTATTATTTCCATAAAAAACTTATGTTCGAGTGTTGGGAAGTATGTTGATCATTATCATGGAAAGCGAAACCTTATCTAATCTCATTTTTGCTCAAATTCTAATAAGAAAGCTACATCCAAGCGGGCCTATTGTGAATCATTACAGTTAGAAGAAGTTACAAGCAAGCAGACTTATTAATTTTCTGTAATTTAATTGTCTGTTATTATTTTCTCTTAGAATTATGAATTATATCATAATAAATAAAGTGATATTAAATGGAATATGATTAAGATTTAATCATAGCCCTTTTTAAAACAAAAGCTGTTCAATACTTTTACTAGACATGCTTATGTTAATTTTTAAAAATGTTAAAAATTGTGATCTACCACGAGGAAAAGTCGTTTGCCGTGACCGTTGGCTGTAAATAGATCGTATAGCTCGTGATCAGCCGGGTCAGATGTCAGATACGTCCGCACATCCGTTGGTATCGAGCCTGCCCGGTGCCTCGTCATGCAAAGCGCAACAAGGGGGCAACAAGTGGGTAACAAGTGGGCAAGTGGGCAAGTGAAGCCCCCAAGTGCCATAGAGAGAATTAACGAAATATGAAAAACTATACATCTTTGTCATGGCGGCGGGGCCCGACTTGGAGACATTGTCTCGTTCCGTGGGCTGCGGATTTCGAAACGGTTGCTGTTGTTGCCAGCTCTGGCTGTGGCTGTTGCTCTGGCTCTGGCTCGGAGAGTGTCTCACCCGACAGCCGACAACAAATAGCGACAGCAGAAATGGAACTAAAGTACAAAAACTATTTGATATTTTATGCGGGATTTTAAATTGATCTTAACGAAGCTTAATTGAATGCGGCTGTATTGGTGAACTGCTTTGCCCAACTCTGGACTCTGACACTATGCATGTGTGTGTGTGTGTGCCAGTGTGCACGCCATATTGGAATTTCGTTGCGCAGATCACAATCGCGTATGAGTATCACACATACATATGTATGTCTGTCTGTATGTATGTTTGCATGTGTGCATGTGTGTAGGCATTTGTCTGGAAGTGCATAACAGAAAGCAAAAAAAAAAATGTGTACATGTATATCGTAATACAATGTGATAATATTCCACTGGAGGATGGGAATGCTGAACGATGATGATGCTGAACGATGAGGAGTGACTGTCACTGGCTTCAAAACAAATGTGGACAAGTGCGACGTGTCTGTGTGTGCGTGTGTGTGTGTGTCTTAATGGTGATGGAAAAAATATGAAAAGTTCTCGCAATCACATTCAACAAAGCTTAGGAAGCGCGTTTTGCTTTGTGTGGCAAACTGTACCAAGTTTTATTTGTTGTAGAAACCCAAAGCGCAAATCTTTATTTTCATTTAATCAGAATTTAATCTCAAAACGGACAACCCTCTTGGACGGACAGTTACTCTTCCCTAATTCCATAATGCAGCAGGCCAAACACATTTTCGCTCCATTAAGCGGACTCTGCTCTTAAGACAAAAATTACCCGGGATTGGCGGGCTACCCAACAGAATTGACTTTGTTGATCACAGAAAGAGTATTGGAGAACAATGTGAAATAGGATTTGGCTATTAGATTAATAACTTTCGAATATTATTATATCTCTCTACTTAATTCATAAAAGTTGACATGGCAAACAATTCGCCTGATCCTCATTCCATGACCTCTTACAAAAGTCATTTTTATCATTAAGATAAAATCGGAGACTTCCAGGTAGAAACAATCACCAAGACCTTCTTTAACTATTAGCTTTATGCGTGTCCCTTAGCTTGACTTTTGATCTCGCACAGATGCTATCCTCGTTGACTTTTCTTAACCCTCAGTCAGCCTTAAGTCAGCAGGACCTTCGACTGCCCCTTCCCAGATCCGTCCGAGGATTGTCCCGCACCATAAGAGTGCCCACATAATTGGCGCAATCGCAATGCAATGCAAAAAAAAAAATATAATGTTGTCTGATTATTCACACGCAAACGTCCGGACTACGGCGGGGTCGCATCATCCCATCATCATCTCCCCGATTGTGGGGTGAGTTCTTTCTTTTGCTCTGCGCCGATCGCGTGCGCATTTCCCATTCTCGCTTCCATATTCCGATTCCGTTTCCGCTGCCCGCATTTTGAAACCTGCAAAGACAAATCCCTCGATATTGCCACATAGCGCGCCCAAAAGTATCAAATATTGTTTGCTGTGAGATTTTCATATAGTTTATGTGGAATTCGATGGGAATTTTGGTATGTTGATCCTGGGAAGAACCTGAGTTCAAGTTCCTTTGTTGTTCCTTTTGCAAGGTCAATGCGGGCATCAGTTTTGTCTAATGCACATCAGCAATAAAATTGGCTGGTTTGGATTGATTGGAAATAAATGGTGGGAATATCTTAGTTAGAAAGGTGAGAAGAGATCTAAGTCAAATTAATTGGAATTGGAATTGGAAGCTTTTAAAGGTACAGAATAGTTATGATAATTAAGAATAAATAATAATAATAAAAATACTAATACTCATACCAATACTAATACTAATACTAATACTAATACTAATACTAATACTAATACTAATACTAATACTAATACTAATACTAATACTAATACTAATACTAATACTAATACTAATACTAATACTAATACTAATACTAATACTAATACTAATACTAATACTAATACTAATACTAATACTAATACTAATACTAATACTAATACTAATACTAATACTAATACTACTACTAATACTAATACTAATACTAATACTAATACTAATACTAATACTAATCCTAATACTAATACTACTAATAATAATAATAATAATAATAATAATAATAAGGATAATAATAATCAATAATGATAATAAACAATAAAACCGCTTAGGTATACTTAAAAGCTTATCTTTTATTTGATGCCCACATAGTTCGCTTCTCTCTCTTGTTCGCTCTCTGCGAATCTTTTCCCGCCACCCTCCCCATTCACTTTCACTAGCCAAAGTCTTGATATGAAATCTTAAATTCCATCCCAATGACCCATAACTTTTCTAGCCCTCCTGTGCAGTACCAGCATTTGGCCAAAAGGTCGAACGCGCGCCAACCTTCCGGAGGGTGAGGTTCAGTTCAGCTTAAGGGTAAGGGTGAGGGTGAGGGTGACACGCGCAGCAGCGGCAGAGTGAAGAAGGTCGCGATCCTTGAGGTTTTGGTGGTTGAAAAATTCCAACAACAACAATAATAATGACGAGACCCTCATGAGATCGTCTGGCGTGAGACAATTCCAATTGGACTTGTGTGTGTAAAAGTGAATGTTAATAAGCATGCATAGGGATTCGTGCTGGCCAAAGCTAATCGAAAGCGAAACATTTGCGGACATGCTGGCAGGTGATAGATAATACATTATCTAAATAGATGCCTAACAAGGGAGCAGAGACAAATCATATATAAACGAAACACAATTGTAAATCCAATACAATAAATATGTTTAAGGTAGCGAATCAGTTTTAGAACAGTTTTGTTAGATCTATTGTGAACAATTAGGATAATGTTAAGAGCTTCTGCTAAAAATTACCCAAAAGCTATTAGACAATCAAAATAAATGCCTAACAAGAGCAGGGGAATTTTCGAAAAAAAAAAGGAACGCAATTGTAAATCCAATACAATAAATAAATTTAAACAAGCGAATCAGTTTTAGAACATGTAATAGAAAAAACTAAGAGTTTTACTAGCTCTATTGTCCGCAATTAAGATACTACTAAAAACTAACCAAAAGCCCAAATGCTTTACAAGAACTTTCCCAGGACATGCCGCTCCTGTCAACCGATCTGCTGGCAGCGTTATGGGGAAATAAATGCACTCGATAACCCGCTGCCGAACGTCACAAACTGAAGGCGAGCCGATTCTCAGGGCAAAACAAAAAAAAACCACACCCCACTGTTGCAAAGGCAGAGGCAAAAGCAAAAAGTCACACGCGCCAGCATAATGGCCAAACACAAAAACAAATACACACACACACACACACAGGCGCAGAGGCGACGTCTCGCTCAATGCGCTCTCTCTCTCTCTCTCTCTCTCTCTCTCACTCGGTCTGCCGCCGCATGCTGTTGCGGCATTGCGGCCATTGCTCGCCGCTGATTGGTCGAGACTGCCTGCGCTGCGTCGCTGCTGGCGAATTGGTATAAAAGGGCAATCATCGCGACTTGTGTGCTCAATTAAGGCCACAGTCACAGACTCGAACGGTTGATCGTGCCCGGAGCTGGCTTTTTTTTGGCAGCGAGCGACTGAGTGTTAAAAGGAGCGGCAAATGCAATTGCGCGTGCGCCAAAAACTAAATGCAATTAATTCATTTACAACAATTAGCGGCAAATTGATTTTGATTTTGATTTTGGCTTTGCGCGCACTTTGATTAAAAACTAAATGGATTAACACTAAAACAAACTCTGAGTGCGTAACGGTAATTGTGTGTGTGTGTGTTAGTGTGTGTGTGTGCGTTCCTTTGAAATGGAGCACGCCGGCTTCGATGATCAAATCTTCGGGGACTTCAGCAGCGGCCCACTAAGTCCACTGGGCGCCAGCAAACCCCTTCTGCCGACCTCCACGGCAACGGTCACGCACAGCAGCCTGCATCCTGTGATGCTCGGCAGCGTCGTCCACGAGCTGTGCAGTCAGCAGCAGCAGCAGCAGCAGCAGCGACTGCCGGATTGCAATACCATACTCCCGAATGGAGGCGGCGGCGGCTCGGGATCGCCAAACTATGGACTTGGCAACAAGATGGGCTGCTTTTCGCCCAGCCAGAAATACGAGTATATAACGACGCCCCAGAAGCTGGTCGAGCAGCAGCAGCAGCAGCAGCAGCAACAGCCCCAGCAACATCATCAGCACTACGCCGTAACGCCGCCGCCTCCGCTCTCCCATCCCCACAATCCCCACAATGGCATGCTGCAGCATAAGCCCAGCCAGCAGCAACAGCAGCAGCAGCAGCAGCAGCAGCAGCTGGTGGGGATCATGAGCGACTATCATACGATGAACAGCAAGCTGGAGTATTCGCCGAAGGATCCGTATGAGCCGCAGCAGCACGTTCAGCTGCAGCATCAGCAGCAGCATCAGCTGTACGGCGGCAGTCCGCATCACAGTCATGCTCACGGGCACGTGGCCCATGTCCATGAGGATGCCGGCAATGGCAACGGACTGCTCGAGTCGTCGCCGCTGCTGCTCGGCGGCACGTCCAGCGGCAAGCACAAGAAGCCGGATGATATGTGCGTACAGCTGGAGAACGGATCGTCTACGCCCAACGGCATCGCCAATGGCAATCCCAACAGCAGCAGCAGCGGCAGCAGCGCCAGCAACAACAACAACAACAACAATAATAATAATGTGGCCAACAATTCCTCCGTTCCGGCGAATGGCGGAGCGGGCGCAGGAGGCGCTGCTGGCGGCGGCGGCGCTGCTGGCGTCGTCCCTGTGACAGCTGCCAAAAAGGACAACAACAACAAGAAGAAGGGCGATCCGAATGGCATCAAAAAGAAGAAAACGAGGTAAGCGTCAATTTCCAATTTCCAATTATCTTAACGACGGGAAATCAATGAAATTATGTCACAATTTATATACGCACAACGGGGCGTATGCGTAATGTATTTTTATGCACATCAAACTACGGGCGGTACATCAAAATGCGATAATTCCGTAGAGGATAAAACATATATATACTTAGATGTGTCCATTTGCATTTATATCAAGCAAATGTTTAAATATAAAAAATAAATAAATAACTTTTTTTTAGTTTCAAAGATTACAATATTAGCTTTTATCCTAAAAAAAAATATAGGTAAGCTTATGAAAGAAAATTGATGTAAATTTAAATATCCCAAAAGAAAATGTAGATGAGAAGATTCAAGAAAATTGATGTACATTTAAAAAAAAACCCTTTTCATAAAGAAGCCTTTTAACTGTTGCATATTTTGAGAGGAAATCTTGTCAGAAACTTTTTTAACTGAAAGCATATTACATTTTTTTGGCATTCTGATAATCTAATTAATTTGTAATTATTAATGCATTTTCCTTTATAATAGTATTAACAATTAATCAGCTTAAAGCTATGAATTTTTTATTTGTATTAACAATTTATCAGCTTTAAGCTATGAATTTTTATTTATCAAAGAATTACCAATTTATCAGCTTGAATTATAAATTTCCATGACTAACATTTGTAAACTTCAGCTTATGCAATATAAATATTCATAACTGAAGATTTGAACCAGGAACCTCTCCAAGGACAGCTCGACAACAATAAAATGTTGCTAGCTTCAAGGAAAGTTTTTATGAAAAGAATGCGTCAATTACTTTTTTTAAGCCAAGCATTAATTCACAAAGAAAATCGAAAATATACCGAAGCTGATTTTAGAAAGCCTTAGGCTTAAGCTGGAAAAAGGAATCTTTTACTCGAAAATTATAGATTGCAGTTCTTTAATCTTAACTACAAAACTTTCTGAGGTTTAACTTATTTTTTCAGATAATTACTAGAAAGATGAGAATAACCTTTGGTTAAATAAATGAAAAATAAAAGACAATGTTCTAGATCCAGCTCACAAAAGTGAGCTCGAGCTAGAAGAAGTTGCACATACTTTTCGTAATATTGTGAATATTCAAAATAAGTGTAACCACAGTTATTAAAGACAAAAAAATGTATCAATATCTGTGATGCTAGATCGCCACAAATCTTTTATAAGAGTAATTGGGAAAACACATCTTATATTTCCCATATTTATGATTCCAAATCGCCACAAACCTTTTATAAGACTTAGTTATTGGGAAAACACATCTTATATTTCCCATATTTATGATGCCAGATCGCGAGAACACATCTTATATTTCCCATATTTATGATGCCAGATTGCCACAAACCTTTTATAAGACTTAGTTGTTGGGAGAGCACATCTTATATTTCCCATATTTATGCTCTTTTTCTATGCGTTTACAGAACTACGTTCACGGCTTATCAGCTGGAGGAATTGGAGCGTGCTTTTGAGCGTGCCCCGTATCCGGATGTGTTTGCGCGCGAGGAGTTGGCGATTAAGCTGAATCTGAGCGAGTCCCGGGTGCAGGTTTGGTTCCAGAATCGGCGGGCCAAGTGGCGCAAGCATGAGCCACCCCGGAAGACGGGCTACATCAAGACGAATACGCCGCCGACGGCGGCACTGAATAGCACATTGGCACCGCCGTTTGCCAGTTTCCCGCAGACGACAACGGTCACGCCGCCGGGCAGCATGGACAGCTGGACAAGCTATCAGACACCCTACGAGCTGAGTCCACAGTTCAGCCTGCTCTCGCCGGCGGCCAGTCCCTACGGCACCTATTCCGGCCAGTACGGCACCTACGTGCACGAGAGCCAACTCTTCCCCATGCGCCACTTCGACTACGGCAGCCCGCCACGCATCGATATGAACGGTGCCGGCGGCGGCGGCGGCGGCGGCGGCGGCGGCGGCGGCGGCGGCGGCGGCGTCGGCACAGCCAGCGGCAATGCGGAGGCAGCTGAAGCGGGCAACGGTTACCAGACGACAGATCTGCAGCAGCAGCAGCAGCAGCAGCACCTCGACGGTTCCGGCAGCACCCAGCTGATAACGGTGCATCAGCAGCTTAATGGCAAGTATCTCAGTGCCGAGGAGGCTAAGTATGTCCAGGTGCAGTGCCAGCCGCCGACGGGACTGGACGACAATGGCGCTGCCTGTCACATGGATGCGCATCATTATGTCAGCGCAGTCGCGGCTGCGGCAGCGGCATCCGGCAGCGATGACAACGACAGCGGCCTGCATACTGTGATCAAGAGCGAGGATGCAGGAGGAGTCGCTGTGCAGCAGCAGCAGCAGCAGGCGCAAAGCTATGTCCTGCCGCCTTTTTTGAACTAAGGGAAATGCTCACACATCGACGTCGGCAGCAGCGGCGCTCTGCCTCTGTCGCTGCCAGTGTCTACGCAGCAGCAGCACGCTTTAAGCGGCCATTTTGAGTTTTTTTCTTGCGTGCGTGTGCAGCATTTCAATAACAGTCAAACAGTGCTAGAAAATGTTAAACAATTAGCTGGGCGGATCTGCCGCCTTTTTCGAACTAAGAGAAATGCTCACACAGCGACGCTCTGCCTCTGTCGCTGCCAGTGTCTACGCAGCAGCAGCACGCTTTAAGCGGCCATTTTGAGTTTTTTTCTTGCGTGCCTTTGCATGCGTGTGTGTGTGTGTGCAGCATTTCAATAACAGTCAAACAGTGCTAGAAAATGCCAAATATATAGAAAATGTGGATCACAGCCAGTGTTGTTGCCATTGGTTCCTTGTAACATTTAAGCGTAGTTTAGTTGACCGACAACAACAAAATCGACAAGTCTTGCCACAACTTAATGCTACTTTATTAGTCTTAGTTTCCAAAGAAAAGCTGTTGGCTATTTCCTTTGGCCAACACGTACGGAATGCATTCCAAATGTGCCTTACTAGCAGCGACCAGCAGGATGAGGCAATGCATTTAGCTTTGCTTCAACTGTGGCCCAATAATTAATCCCCTAGTTGTATGTATAAATATGTATGTAGTATATCAAAAACTGTTGTGTAGTTAGACAATAAAGTGTTTGTATGTTTGTATAATTAGCTTATGGTCCTTACAAAAATGTTAATACTTATGGTGTATGCATCATACTTTTGTAATTTCGAGTTTTTAGCTGCTTCAAGTTTTCATAAATCTAAGATTAGCTTCTTTTCTAGAATCTAAATACAATAATAATTCGCAATGTATATATACATAGAGATTATAATAATACGATTATATTAAAGAATAAAGTAACATATTTTGTACCACACAAGTGAAAACGAAACAATCAACAGAAAACAAAAACAAACAAAAAAAAAACAAATAATATTGAGACTCTCTTCTTTTGATATTTATGTAGAACGTAAGTTTTGGGTTCCACATCGCATATCAGACTTGCATAATTTTGAATTAATTGAATTAATATATTGTAGGATTAAGTGTTGCCTTGCTCCAGAACTGTCTGCCAATCGATGCCTTCGAAAAACGGATGCGCCTGCAGTTGCTCGTAGTCCAAGCGCAGCTCTGGGGACAGTTGAAGTAGTTGCTCCAGCAGATCGCGCGCATTATCCGAAATGTCCAACGCATCTGATGGATATTGCACACAGCCATAGAGCTCCAGCTGGCCGGGATGCATCGATTTGTAGGACTGCAATCAAAATTAGCATAATTAAATAAATTCAGACTTTTTATACGATTAGCTTACCACACCCAAGAGCAGCTGGTAGAGCACCATGCCATAGCTCCACCAATCCGAACGAAAGGTTAGAGGTCGCTCCGGCGCCACAAAATGATCGTTTAGTGCCACCAAACTTAGCGCCTTGTGCACGTAGTTGTCATCGGAGCTGAGGCCCTCGTTCTGATAGAAATACGTGAGCATTAATTGACCTGAATTCCCTAGCAAAATGTTCTCCATGTGCAGATCCCGCAATATAACACCCTTGCCATGCAGACTGTGCACAGCCACGGCCAGCTCGCACGCCCATTGACGCAGGCACACCTCGGGCAGACGCTTGGCAGGCGCCGTCGTCTTCAGGCGCCTGGGCGTCAGCATGCCCGCCTGTACAGTGCTCAGCGTATGCGAGACGGACCTGAGCAGCTGCTGCGAATTGCGCAGCAAGTCAGTAACATCGCTGTCTGTCGTCAGCGGCTGCTCCGCTGGGAATAGATCGGCGTAGTCGCCGCACTTGCTGGTGGTGGGCGTGTAGCTTTGTATATAGTCAAAGAGGCGGCCGCCCTCGGCCTGCTTGAGCAACAGGAAAATCTTCTGGTCCGACTGAAAGTAGGCCAGCAGTTGGCACATATAAGGTACACGCTGTGGCAAAAAGATGCTTTGCGTCGGCGAATTGCTGGCCGGTTTCTCAATGCCCTTCATGACAGCCGTTGGCTGCGACAGCGGCTGTGTGATGCACTGCACCTGCATGACACGTTCGCCCAGCACCTGCAGCACTTTGTACTTGGCCAACTGATTCCAGGGGCATTCCAGCTGCGATACATTGTCCGTCTCGTCCAGCGAGAGCTGAAACTGCAGCTTTCTTTTGCCATTACGGGCGGCGCCGGAGCTCAAAAAGTTGGCATAAATATCATCGGCACGGGCCAAATACTTCGCAATCTTGGCCTTGGCTATAAACTTGCGATCCTCGTTGGCATCATGCTTGGCGCCGTCGAGCAACAGCTCCACGCCCCGCTTGTAACGCTTATGGGCGTCTTCATAGTCTAGATTAACCTCCGACTGCACGGCATGACTGAACTCCAAGGCCGCCTCATAAATATAATCGCTATCTTCGCTCTCCACGGAGGCCATGGGCGTGAGCAGGCGTGCGTAGTCGCGCTTAGACTGTTGTTCCTTTGCCTCAATGCCCGTATCTTTGCTTTGCTGATTTCCCTCGCTATCTCCGCTCGGCTTGTCACATGGCAGATCGTAGGGCAAGTCGGGTTTATCGCAAATTTCAGCTATGGCCCCGTTGTCCGGCAACTTGAGCGAGCGCTCCACATACAATTTGCGCAGCGGCGATGCATTTGGCGATTGCGCTTCGCTAAAGAACTGGGTGAAAGTGTTGCACTTGTACAGCGCCGGATGCTGTGCCGCAAAGTCGAGCAGTAATAGTATATAGTCTTTGCGTCGCTTAATCACATCCGCATCGAAGCGCTTGAAGTAGCTGCTGTCGGTTGGCTCGGGCAACTTGCCCGGCAGCTGCATACTTTTGTGCCGGCGACTGAGCTCCCTGTGCAGCCGCTTGATCTCATGAAACCGTTTCCATACAACCAGGCAGGTCAATGCCTGAGGCACCGAGCGCGGAAAGACCTTAAAATGTGCGCACACCAATTAGATCAATATATTTCATAGAAGGCCAATTGCACTTACAATCGATGTAATCTTGTAAATAGTGTAGCCTCCTTTGTGCTGCTGCGTGTCGGTTACCGTGAAACTGTGTATCCAGCCTCCCAGATTTAGGGCCATTGCAGTAGGTGAACGAATTGAGGACGCCTTAAGGATGAGCCCGATTTGGTTTAGCGATAGAACCAAAATATTATTGTAAAAACTGTATGGTTTTCCTTGCCGTTAACTGATTTCTAAAAATGTATATTACAATTTGTAGTGTGGGTGAAACGCATCATCCTACCTTTTGTAGTTTCATGCTTTTCATTTGTTTAAATTATGTTTTCGCGTCTTCCTCACATATTTTGATGTTTGTATTCCCCTTTAACTGCACGGATGGGTAGGAGGCATAACAGCCAACAATAACAGAATTTGAACTTTAACATTTTGTTAATATTCGGGAATATTTTAAATGTAATTAAAAAACTGACATTGGAGAGGTGTAATATTAAAATGTGCCAATGTACCTATACAATTTGGTCAGCAATTGTTTAAACTTAACTATGAAACAAAATATATACAAATTTTGGAAGTGAACGATTATTTTATGCTCGAACTTAAATGGGCAGCCCTGCCATTCGTGATGGACTATCGCGCAAATATGATTGAGAAGTTCAATTATCGTATAAGAAAACTGCTAAATGTCTTATAATTTTAGTTATGGTATTTATGACGGCAATTACTGTTACGACATAACACAGCTATCGCTATCTCTAGCATACTAAGCCCAAATACAATTGATCCTTAGCAATGCAATTTAAAATCTTTAAAAAACCGTTTTCAACGATAAGAAGCAATTTTCTTTACGTCGCAACAAATATCTATACTTCCCGCCTTTTTTCAAGAAAAAAATTAAAACTTTTGTAACCGCAGTGTTGAAATTTTGTTGTTGCGCTAAGACATAGGTACAATAGTTATCGGACGGTAGCCTGCGGTAATCGATACTCAACGATATATCGTGCAGCGCCATTCAAGAGCCATCTTTTTTTGCCGCGCCTTTGCCTCTCATTCTCAGAGACATTTTCGAGATACCGACGACAAAGTAAGCGTTTGAAAATCAATCAAATAATTCAAATTAACCTCGTCTAGTGTCAGTGTGTGTGGAAAGACAGTTAAAATTATAAATAGTTTTATAAACTGAAAAACTTTTACGACGCAGGCTCGCTCTCAGTGTATAAATTATTCATTTTACCCCCAAACGTTCTTTACTGTACTCGCAGATTCGTGTAGCGTCCACGACGACATTGAAAACGGAACGGCAGCCGAACCGAGCGTGCGAGTGAGCTAAGCAGAGCGCTTGTCAACTCAAAAAGCAGTAGAGAAAAAGAAGGCGACGAAGACAGCAGCAGCATAATCGACGCCGCACGTACCGGGAGCATTTAAAATAATTTTTTCTGTGGATTAATTTTACTAAAAAGGATTTAAACACAATGACTGAACGTGAAAACAACGTCTACAAGGCAAAATTGGCCGAACAGGCCGAGCGCTACGATGGTGAGTACGAAAAACGGGGCGAAAAAATTTTTTTTTTGTCAGCGGAGCGCCAACTTTTGGGGAGGGGTCCAGTTCCATTCTCGTCGCGTGGCCTGCGCTACGTCGAAAATTGCTGAAAATGTCCACAATTTATACAGCGGGTGACAAAAAAAAAAAAAAAAAGTAGGCATTATTAATTTTGCAGACATTTGTGTGTAGGTGCGCCCCGCTGCCAATGGCTTTCGTCAGAAGCGTCGAGTCGGCGTCGCCGTAGCCGATGAGTGGTGTTTCTGCGAAAAGACCGAATACCGAATAAAAAAGATGACGAGCAGGCGAGGCAGCGCTGTAGAAAAGGCAAAGAAAGACTGGAAAAGAAAAATGTAAAACAAACCTGATTTTTACCGGCAAAAATTCGCGTGGTTTTCGTTTTTGAGTTGGCTTTTGCAAAAACCAAGTTTGTTGCGTATTATATTATATGTACATAGGTACTGAACTAAGAAAATTTATAGGATGGGGGGAATTTTCAAGTTGAAATTTTGTGTATTTAGTGTTCGTTGCTAGGCGTGCAGGGGGCTGCGCGACGGGGGAAATGACATCGTTGCTAAGGGCTGTTTTGTAAAAACTTATGTGTTGCCAAGTCGAACTTTTTCTGAGGAAAATCCTTAGGTGCGTTTAAGGAGCAACATAATTTATGAGATATTCAAATATGCTAACAGTTGGTGTGTTTCCCCATATCTGAACATCGACGAGAGGCCCATAACTTTTTCTTCTCTTGTTCCTTTCGCTCAATTTAATCGCCACTCAAAATGTGCTTTTGTTGCGCAGCAGTAAGGCGGCGACGTCGTCATCATGCCGTGCTGCGAAAAATCGATGAATGAATCGATTGTGTGACTGGCGCAAAAGTAGTCGCTGAAGAAACGAAACGATCAGCGACTGTAGCCAGACTCTTCGAATATTTTCTTATATTGGCTTTTATGCAAATAAGTTGCCCATTTTATTTATTTTTTGTAAAAGAATTTTCTCGCATTTAAGGGCAGGCAACTCTGCCTGATAGTGCAGAAAGAAAAAAATTTTGCACTAGCATTACTCATGCTTTTGTGCGCATGTGTATGTATGTATGTACATACATATGTATGTGTGGCTCTGAGAGGCATACGCACGCACGCTCACCGCTACTATCTTAACTACTCACACCATCACAGTCGGAAATTTTATTGTTGCTGGCTGCTTATTTAATTAAAAATACTTCAATTAATTAAAATGCTGCGGCTGCTCAAAATGCAAAGCGCTAGACAGCAACCAGCGTTTCTAGCATTTGACTAAAAAGCGCGCGCGCTCGACGACATTGCTCAAATGCGTTGCCGTGTGCGTTAAAACGAGATAACTAGAGTGTTGCGAACACAGACGCGGATGCCTTTTTTTTTTTGCCCCAATACAGTGTCGGTTAGAAGTTTGCTAATGTTTGTTGTATTGGGACTAAGCATTAATAGTAATAATTACAACTAACAATTCTGCTGGCAATTGTCAGGAAAACTGACAACACTTAACACAGGCGGCATTTTTATCTCCTTTCCTCTTGCTGCCCAAGCAGCGGCGCTCCAAAGAAGTCAATCAACTATTAGCAGCAACTGCGGGCACACACACACACACACACACACGTGAACGTTAAAGTCTGTATCACATGTTTTTCTTCTTATTTTCGCCTGCGTGAGCTCCAAACTGTATTCGTCTGTGTATTTGTGCGAGCTCTTGGCGTTGGCCTTGTCGCACTTGGACATCTTTGGTCATGCTGGAGAGACTAATACAAATGCATTCCAGGCAGCCGGCAACGTCTGGCTGACTGCCTCTAGCCCCTCTCTTGCCTCTCCTTCGCCTCCACAATGCCAACCCCTCGAACGTCTCCTTGCCCACCACCATACATATTAACGTCAGTGGCGGTAGCTAGCCTTTGAGTGTGCTCTCAGGTGCTGATTGCTGCTGCTGCTGCTCCCGCTTATTCTAGCTACTTTTTTTTTCGAGGTCGCTGCCGTGCATGTTTTTTATTTGGCGTTCAGCTTAATGTCGTCAATGGAAAACAAAAAGAGAATACAGGAAAAGCTACAAAATGTTACAGATTCGACTGGCATATTTTTTTTATTTCGCTTGCGTAATTACACTTTTCTAGCGGAAAGTATTAGCAAGTAACGGCACGCTAATAACCAAACGTAAACGTACGCATATAAATATAAATTGGCTTGCCTGTATGTAAATATGTATACATATATATCAGTCGTATGTATTCTGTATATATGTATGTGTGAGCATAATTTATGTGTTGACACGCCCACGAGCAAAGACGTAGGATCAAGGTTCAGACGAGTCCTACCTTCCTTTGTCAAAAGCGTCTTAAATTCCTTCAAAAATTACATTACTTTGGTGTGACGCGTTCTGGCTCGATGTAGGTGTGGGGTATATGAGCATGTGTGTGGGTGGGTGGGTGCTGCTCGAAGAGGTTGGGTGTCGCTTTAATTTTGTCTACTTTAGGCTGTTGACTTTGTCTTTGCGGCGTATCTTTTCGGTACCTTTGCGTTTGTCATGCCGTGGGAATTTCGTTTGATTAATATATATTTTGGCCTTGTTAGTAATGTGCTGTGCTGTTGGCAATTTTAATTATGTCTTAGCGAAGCTTTTAGTTGTGAAGGATTGAACAGGTGCAATCGAACTATGAATTTCGGAATTTGTCTCTTTATGGCAACCCTATTATCACTGTTTGTCGACGCTTTGTACGCTGACGCAGTGTTGCAAAATGCATTGCAATTGTGTGCCATTGCCAAACAACAATTTGAAGTTCACCGAATAGCAACAACAACGAGATGCTACTAAATTGAGCACCGTGAATCACACGGCCAACTTTATTCCAATTTTCACAGCTACGTGCTGCAGCAATATATATATATATGTATATTCGAATAACAAAGCTCCCGCTGTTTGAACTTATAAGTGTGAGGGGTGTGATGGGGCGGCGTACTAATACAAGCACACGCATATACGTCAGCAGCCAGCAGCGGGAGAGAGAGAGAGAGAACAAATTGAATTGCAGGCAAAGTAAAAATGATACAGTGCTATTTAGCACTGATTTGCCTTAATGTGTGCTACAAATTGGTGTGTGTGTGTGTGTGTGTGTGTGTGGGTGTTTGTATGTGTATCAGTTGCTCTGTTATCAACACGCATACTAAAATAACGGCGACTTGAAAGTTGCAGCTGTCATTCGATCGAATTCACAGTCAGTCACTGCGAATGCATGTGATTCATGACGCGCTTTTAGTGCGATGACGCCGTTGCCAGTGTTGGGTTAGCTCAACGGAATGTGCAACAATGTGTCTGGCAGTCGTTACTTTCATGACAGTTGTTATCAACACCATGAGAAAATCGGTCTAAATCGGGCTGACTCGATCACAGGAAACAGCTATGTGTTGGTACCTAAATGTGATAAGTTATGCCATTAAATATTGGGAGTGTGCACACCTACTCATAGATAATATACGGGCTTGTGTGTGTTTATAGAGAATAGTCGATAAATATGACAATGCAAAAAAAGAAGAAAATAGACGGTGGATACTTATGGAATTAAGGTAACTAGTTATAGAATTCAAATTTTTTTTTACTTATCATATATTAAGCATTGCGCAACTTAGGCAAATTACCCACAGTTTAAATATACATATATCTAAGAATTTTCCATGCCTGCTATGCTATTAATCAATTGGCACATTTATCAGGTTTTAAATATGCATAAGCTCTTATCATTTCTCACGCTTACATGATTTCTCTTGTCGCTCCTTTTTGCAGAAATGGTTGAGGCCATGAAGAAGGTCGCCTCTATGGACGTTGAGCTGACCGTTGAGGAGCGTAATTTGCTCTCGGTTGCCTATAAGAATGTGATCGGAGCACGTCGGGCTTCGTGGCGCATCATTACCTCCATTGAACAGAAGGAGGAGAACAAGGGCGCCGAAGAGAAATTGGAAATGATCAAGACCTATCGTGGTCAGGTGGAAAAGGAGCTGCGCGACATTTGCTCGGATATACTAAATGTGCTCGAGAAACATCTCATTCCATGCGCCACGTCCGGCGAAAGTAAAGTATTCTACTATAAGATGAAGGGCGATTATCATCGCTATTTGGCCGAATTCGCCACCGGTTCAGACCGTAAGGATGCTGCAGAGAATTCGTTGATTGCCTATAAGGCAGCAAGTGATATTGCCATGAACGATCTGCCACCAACACATCCCATACGCTTGGGCCTGGCTTTGAACTTCTCGGTAAGTGCAAAGAAAATGCCAGTATCTAATCAAATCATATCTAAATATGTTTTCTGTTCAAATCGTAGGTGTTTTACTATGAGATACTCAATTCGCCGGATCGCGCTTGCCGCTTGGCGAAAGCCGCATTTGATGATGCCATCGCAGAGTTGGATACGCTAAGCGAAGAGAGCTACAAAGACTCGACACTGATTATGCAGCTTCTGCGGGACAACCTCACATTATGGACGTCCGATATGCAGGCAGATGGTGTGTAATCCGTTCATAATCCAAATCGATAATCGATATATTCTTCATGTTTGATGTACTGCAACTAATGCAAATGAAATCTCTGCTCTATATATTCGAATCTAGACTCCACAACAGGCGATGGCGAGCCCAAACAGGAAATTCAGGATGTTGAGGATCAGGATGTGTCGTAATTTAAGTAAACCCCCGCCCTTCCATTTAAAAAAAAAAAAAAAAAACACAAAAACAAAACAAAAACATATACCTTCTAAAGTAAATATAATACATATAATATATATGCATACAACAATAAAAACAACACGCAACCGGGTAGTAAACAACAAGTAAAAAAAAACAACAAGAACAGCATCTGGCAACAAGAATCAACAGCAACGACAACAGCGACAACTACTAAATAGGGGCAGCAGCAACCACAGGAATGCAACAACAACAACAACAACCACCACAAGAACAACAACAACAGCAGCAAGTAGCATAAAACACACGAGAAAGAAAAATAAACAAATACAACAACAACAGAACAACAGAAAGCGACACGAAAACGACACGAAGGTGGTCGTGGGCGCGTGGGCGTGGCTGTTGTTGGGGCTAGAATGAGGTGCAGCCGCCGTCGCCGTCATCGAATGCGAATCTTCTTTGCCCAGGCTCCTTCAAAAGCTACAGCAGCAACAACTACTACATTTGAAATTTTTTGCATTCGAGAAACAAAAGCATTATATTATATTTAAATAAATATTATATTTAATTCTGAGAAGCGAAAAACAAAATAAACTCATTTCAAACTAAACAGAATACACACACACACAAACACATACACACATACACACAACACACACACAAAGTAAGCAAAACGTAAATTTTCATCCGAAAGTTGGCATAATATTCATTTAACAATCTATCAGCATGAAAACGATAAGATACATAACTTCAACTTTAATTTTAAGCCAGTCATAAAAGTAATTAAAGAAAGTTAATTAAAAGGAAATAACACTCGAAAAACGAAAAATGAATAAAGCGCAAATTGAATTAAAGCGAAGCAAGCAAAAGCAGCGTAACGTAACAAATGTAAAAGAAGCAAATGCAGTAACAAAACAGCAGCAGCAATTAAATCTAATTTAATACGAAACAAAAAGCAAATGTGAAGTAAGAACGAAATGAGCAAACAAAAGCAAAGTCAAGCTAAAATAATAATACAAAAAAACAAATGAGAAAAATGAATGTTAGTTAATGCGAAATTCGAACGAATAAAAGTAAAACGGTTTATTAAGCTTAAAGTTGTATGTACGTAAGTGTATTGTTCACAACACAATCGCGCACACACACACACGCAGACGCAGACACAGGCAGACACGAAGAACACAAATACACTGAGCAACAACCAACCAATCACCAATTATGCAAATAGAAGAGCTTTCTTCCCGTTTTACTCTTATATTTCTCTCACCTCTTTCTTGCTCGCATGGAAATCAAAATTAAGCGCAGTTTACGTTAGTGTTTATGTATATGTACAAGAGTTTGTTTAACGTTTTTTAATTCACTTCGCCACAAACATTTCATATTATATATATATATATTAATAAATATATATATAAATATTAAAAAGAAAAGTATTTGTAGTTGCTAAACAAAATGGTACACATATATATAAATATATATTGTATACATCTTAGTATATATACATTCGTATGTATGTACTTGTATATTTTCTATGCCTACCACTTATGTAATTTGTAGAGATTTCGAATTTTTCCAAGTGAAAACCACCCCCAAAAACCAAACGGCGACAAAATATTTGCATTTAACCGTCAACAATTTTATTTAGCTAAAAAAACGAAAAACGAAAAACCAAAACAATTTTAAAGTTTATGTTTTTCCCCTTTTGTTGCTGCGTACCAGGCGAACAAATTGTTATTAACCAAATCCAAATGGAACAGCATTTTTTTCGCACATAATGCCATTCGAACACTTTCCGCTTGTATTTTTCGGATCCGAAATTGTATATGTACACACATACGTATGTATGTATGTGTATTTATATTGTGCAAACTTAGCCGTGAAAAGCCGAGCAGAAAGTTAACGAAGCATTAAGCAGCAGCAGCAGCAAATACATAATTATTAACGAAGAACACGGTTCTTAAAGGAAACAACAAAATCAACAGCTAAACTGACATTCGTATTCATTTCAAATAAAAATATTAAAAAAAAAAAACAAGATATTGAGCACAAATTATTGTTACACTTTATACACTTATAGAATTAGCTGGAGGCATTGTAGAAGGGTAGAAATACTGGGATTACAAATTATTCACCGTAAATGTGGGAATTACTAATATAAAAAAAAAAACGATATTCACAAGAAACACATTTAGCTATAAATCTGATAAAGAATTCATAACATTTTATTTAAGGAGCTTTTGCATGTGACTGGTTGGCTGGAATATAACTATGTTATATTTACTACTCTTCGAATTCTACTTAATCTCTTATATTCCATACAAGTCTAACGGTTTAATGATTCAATTTGTGGACGAATTGAGTACCAGCATGCAATTCATATAAAGGCCCGCATTTACTGGAAATCTGAATCAGTGCAATTAACAGTAAAAAGTGCAATGTTTGCATTTTGGGTATCCACGTTCAGTTTATAACTGAAACGGACGGATTTTCATTAGCTAACCTTAGCTAGCAGTAGATGCTATTCATATTCATATATTTATACTACTATTTCCTTGTTTAATGCTTCTTATATATAAAATTCACCTTTTTTTCCACCCATGCAAAATTTTAAATCATCGATTTTTCCACGTTTTTTGACGTATTTTCCGTGGTTTGAAGTTTGTCGCCGAAAAGTAAACTTGTTCATGCAACCTTTGACCCGCATTTTTTAATCGAAGAGGGTGTCGATTTTGGGATAAGTTTGATGGTAAGCAAAACAGTTTCGTACAATAAATTTCCGCACATTTTCCGAACTTGTGGGTGAAATTCCCTAAGAGCCCGTAAGGTAACTACAGAACAAATTTCAGCCTCAGTCTCATATCTACAGATATATAACGTTTGATTGTCGTGACTTTTTTTTTTTGGCTACGGCGGGTCTACAGATACTACCTGCACGCCGAAATAAAAATCAACTGAGAAGCCCCTCGGCAAAATTGACTAAGTCTTTACCAACTTTTCTGAAAGCTTCCAAGGCTATTCTTAAGTTAGGAAATCAACCAAATGATTTTAGGCTGTACTTGCTGCTCCATTCATAACTCTTAATTTGGTAAAATATTTCTCAACAATGTAAAAAGTAAGAACAAAATACCCTGTTCCCCTTTAGTCAACGCTTTATACTCTTCAAAACTTAATCTATAATGATTATACAGGTACATATAGAAATATTCCTCCTGCAAAAAACTACTAGAAAGTCGACGTATATGATTGTTGTCAGGACTTCATGAAATTTTAAGTGCATTTTTTGAGTTCTTTCAATTTTTTTGGAAAAGGGTGGAATCATCCAAAAAGTAAAGTACTCTCAATCTAGTCTGGAAAATTATAGATCATTAATACTAAAATTGGTGTAAAGTTTTTAAGGTATGCTTAAAAAACCAATTCGATTTCTATGGATATTTCGAAAATGCAACGAGATATAGATATAACATAGATAGGGGAATATACATTTCAAATTTTAAGTCTAACTTTAAAATTCCAGTCGGATATGGCTCAAACGACCTAGATCGACGTCCTGATCAATTTATAAACTTTATGGGGTGGCACATGCTTCCTCCATTTTCAAAGGGATTAAATTGACTTGCAGCACATTGTGTGACAAAATTGAAACACCCGCTGTAAATATGGGCACAATATGAAAATCATGAGCAGTCAATGACACGTGGATCAATATTGGACACTTGTCGGAGACACAGCAATGCAGAGACACCACCACCAGACTAGAAGTGTCTGTGTCCACTTCAGCTCAATGCCAAAGCAGCAGCAGCAGAACTGGGTCTAGTGGCCATTGTTTGGGTGACGACCACCCGACCCCAAATACCACGACAAGTAAATGACAAAAGAGGTGTGTACAAATGCTTATATATCTATATTTAAAAATCTAGGTAAATTGGCAGACAGCAGTTGAAAGTGGACAGGCCGAAAGGCGTAACGATTTATTTGCTAAGAGTCGCTGGTCGAGAAATGTCGCTGCAACTGCAAATTGAGAAGCTCAAAGGTCTGGACAATTACAAAGCGTGGTCGATGACAGTGCGCGCCTATCTGGAGTCCGAAGATCTGTGGAGCGTCGTGGAGAATGGACCGGAGAATAACGATGAGGTATTTTTAGTTTAGCCTGAATACGTTTGCTGTTCGCATTCCATTGCCAATGTTCGCTCTTTGCCAGTCGCTGCTGAAGGATAAGCGTGCCAAATTCCTCATACTGTGCCTGATCGAAACGAAGCTGTGCCAGTTTATGGTCAGCATACGCACGGCCAGGGATCTGTGGAACTATTTGCGCACCCAGCATTCGCTGCGCTGAGTCCATTTTCCCTGCGAGCAAAATAGACATCAATAAAAAACATTTGCAGTTAAAAACTTTGCATTGCCTACTTCGCCTTACTGTGCCAGTTCTATGATCACCGGCTGCTCCTCGGGATCCTCGTCGAGCAGCCCCTCGAAATGCCAGCTCAGCTCCTTGGTTAGTCGCTTCATCAAACGCTCGGCATTCACCATGAGACCGCCGGCATAGAGATTAACCAAGAGCTCACGCACATCCTTGTAAATTGTGTTGTGCATGGTGGGCGCCGTCAGCTCCTCGGGCAGGTGGGGCAGCTGGTGGGCCAGCACTTCGCTGTACTTCATATAGGCCAGCTTGTGCTTGACAACAGCCGTCTCCGAGTGGGCCAGCAGGGCGAGCAACTTGCGCCAGTGATCCAAAGACTCCACCGAATAGCCAACCAAAAAGAACACAAATGCCAGCTGCAGTTCCTCAATGAGCGCATCGGGCTTGTTGCCAAAGCTCTCGAATAGCATATCTACAGCGGCTATGCAGTCTATGGCATGCCGTGACACATCCGCCGGCTGGGCGTCATGTGGAACACGTGCAGGCACCACACAGAAACGCGGCGCTGTGCCCTCCACGGGCTTCAGATGGGGCAGCATATCGCTTTCATCCAGCAGCAGCTTGGCAGCCGTATTGCGTTTGCTGATGCTGTCGGCTCCGCCGCGTGGCCTGTCTGCATCTGTGCAGGATTGCAGCTCAATGTTGGTGCGGATTGTGCCCAGCTCGGGCTGGCAGCGTTTTACACACGGCTCGGTCACGCTGCCCGTCAGATCCTTCCACTGGCACACGTAGCGATAATCGTAGGGCGCCAGAACGCGCTCCAGTTGCGCCAGATTCTTGCGTATGCGTTCACGCTCCAGCTCCGGATCCGCTGTCTGACGTGGACGCAGCTCCTCCAGCTCGTTATCCCATTCGCGCACGAGTATCTCGTTGGGATGGAAGAAATGCACGAAGCCAACACGTGGCGCCGCGTCGCCATAGGGGCCGCGGGAAGCGCACCACACATAATGCACACCAGGCGGTATCATTTTGACGCCGCGAAAATCCGGGCCTATGGTATAGGCGCACAAGTCAATGCCAAACTCGGTGCCCACTGGAACGCCTGCTATGGCCAAAACGGCGCCATCTGCGAGCAGCCGTAACGCCAGTTCGGGATCCATTTGCATGCTGGAGTTATCTTTGTTCATGTTGAGCGCGTTTTAGTCAGCTTTGTTGTAAAAAGGTAAATAGGCCTTTCAGCTAATCGTGTTTACATTCATTTCTGTTGTTGTTCATTTCGGAACAAGCTCGATAGAACCGATTTTCGTCCGTTTCAAATGAATAAAGCGCCAACAAATAATTAACTATTTTGTCCTATTGTTATTTGATTTTATGTTTTTGATAGAAATTTATTTAGTCATGTTTTTTCAGTAAATAACAAAGTTTAATAACAAAAAAATTGTATCTTGGCTTGCGCGTTGCAAAAGTTCCGAGTCGGAACTTCCAAATAGCTCGATAGTCCAAAATAATCGGAATCTGTGTGCTGAATCCAGTCGAACAAAATTCTCCATGTTGATTTTATGACCATTAAAGGATATTCAACTTAGCAATTTGTTTATTAGATAAATCCAGTTAATGTTTGCTCGGATATACAAAAGTTAATAGGCCCGCTAGTTTGATAAAATTATTATTAATTAATAATATGTCGGAGTTGGAATTAGTTTTAAAGGTTTTCTAAGAGATGGCGCTATAGAAGTATGTTGCATGTGGGCACCCCAAAACTATATTCGCGCCAAAGGAGTATATTATATTAGGAGCTGGAATTAACGTATGTTGCATGTGGGCACCCCAGTACAACCAGTACAATTGCTGGGGACAAGCGTTTTCAGTGCGGCTGGTCCAAAGCCGCCTTCGTTTTTGTTCGGGTTCGAGACACGCCCGCATGCTCAGACAGCAAGAGAGTAAGTAATGCATATGACTTGTACCGTAAAACAGCATCGCTTTCTTTTTATTCGCTCACTCTACAGGAAACTGCATTGTCTTACTCGAATTGATGAATGAATGTTGACCCCTTATTACCTGCAGCAGCCCGTTTGGCCGAAAGGGTAAACGTTTGGCAAGCACCTGCACCTGTATATGTAGGTCAAGTGACTGATCACTTAAATGATTTAATGACCAGCGGAATTTGTGTAAAAATTAAAATCTTTAATCTTCATATATACCAAATAAAATAAAAGAGCGATTATATATTTATAGCATTAATGATTTTATTGACTTATCATATTCAAGTTATTCATTTCAAACCCAAAATCATAAAAAAGACGCGTGCCAATAATGAAATTTTCTTTTGCGCCCATGATCTGCCCATTCACACACATTTTGGTGTGTGTGTGTGTGTCTGTGTGTAGAGGTCGAAAATCAGAAATCACAAAAACTTCAAATCTTGCAAGGGACAGGCAGGCAACCACAGGCACACAAAAGCATTCATATACAAAATATGCAAGTATGCGTGAATAGCAAGTCAACAAACTTTTAAATGCACACATGCCAACGCTTAGGTACCCTTTCCAACAACAACGAGCTAAAATGCAAGAATTTCGGATCGACGTGGCAAACCCTTTCATTATTTCATATTACTCGTCCGGAAAGATATTTGATAACAAAAACTTGAATTTGGGCGCATTTTGCGGACACATACACACACAAACATTTTAACGGTGCATGATAAAATGGAAAAAAAAAGGAATGGAAAAATGGTATGTGTCATTTTGCGGAAGTGCCACAAACATTACAAGATCATTCAATATGGTGGCTTTCGTGTTGAATAATCGCAATTCGCGGGAAGCTTTATTGTTCTGCTCCCATTTGAAGAAAAATGCTGCTGCGAGTCGTTTGCTGCTCAAGGAAGCTTACGGGGATTATACTCCATCGATTTCAACATGTCAGTCCTGGTTTCGACGCTTTAAAAGTGATTACCGATGACAAGGAACGTCCCCGTCAGCCGAAAAAGTTCGAAGTCGAAGCATTGGAGGCGTTACTCGACGAAGAGCCGTGTCAAACACTCCAAGAATTGTCTGAATCATTGGGAGTTGACTTGTCAACAGTCGGCAAACGTCTCAAAGACATGGGTATGATTCAGAAGCAAGGAAATTGGCTGCCAAGCGAGCTGAAGCCGAGAGACGTGGAGAGGCGGCTTGTGACCTGCGAACATCTGCTCGCGCGTCAAAAACGGAAAGGTTTCTTGCATCGCATCGTCACTGGCGATACAAAGTGGATCCACCTACCATCATCAACGAAGCTCATGCTCTGTATTTGGTGGGATCAGCTGGGCGTCATTTATTATGAGCTGCTCAAACCGAACGAAACCATCAACGGAGACCTCTACCAAAAACAATTGATGAGTTTGAGCCGGGCATTGAAGAAAAAACGGATGCAATTCCAGCAGCGGCACGATGAAGTCATTTTGCAACATGACAACGCTCGACCTCATGTCGCAGAACCCGTCAAAAAGTACTTGGCCAGGTTGAAATGGGATGTTCTACCGCACCCGCCGTATTCCCCAGATATTGCCCCGTCCGATTACCACTTGTTCCGATCGATGGCACATGACTTGGCTGACCAGCACTTCACCTCTTACGAGGAAACAAAAAAATGGATCGATACATGGATCGCATCAAAAGACGAACTGTTCTTCCGAGCTGGTATCCGAAAATTGACAAAAAGATGGGAAAAAGTAGTCGCTAGCGATGGACAATACTTTGAAAAATAACATAATATTATACTATTATACATAGTTATAAACTATGAACCATTGAACCTATTAAATTTGCCATGTCCTTTGCCTAAAATACATAAACCATAGACAACATTTTCGTATTATGCTTAAAAACTAAGTTTTTATATATTAATTTATTTTTTCTTCTAGGAAACTTAGCGAAATTAGTACTGCAAGCTGCGTTTAGTGCCGATATCGTCAAGTATTTGGCGCAGCTCCTCATCCTCAAAGCGACCTTCCAGCGATGGTATCAATGCCTTGGCCTCCTCTGGCGCCTCCGGGCAAAGATTACCCAGCGCAGCTAGCTCGAACTTATGCAGTTTCTTTTGCATAAGCAAGCTGAAAGATAAGAAAATAATTAGAACTGATGTTTGCCATCAAGAAAGGTGTTTTTGGTGGCTAACCTGCGCACGGACATAATGGTCTCTTTGTTCTTGAACTTGCGAAAACTGTCGGTGTACGCATAGGTTTTCATAAAGACCTCAGAAAACTCCTGCTCTTCGTCGGCGGATTCGTTTTGGCGTTTGCGATGATCAAGCAGCATGTGCACCTCCGATATGAGCAGCGTTTCGGCATTTTCGAACTCTGAAAAAAACAACAAAATGGAGCTCATGAGAATATTGGATATGCGAAATATTTAATTTGCTTTTGGCAATTTACAAGTGAAACACACAAAGTAAAGCTATCAGAGTTTAGCCAAAAGAATGCGGTCGAATGTGGCCATTTTCCACCAAGAAATCATAAATCTGGCGAGTTTTGTTCACATCGATTTTAATCAGACGCCGTGCATCGCCCAGCCGCAGATGACCCAGCTTGGCCTGCTCGGCAATCAGCTGGTTTTTGTACTCCAAATAGGCCTGCGGTATCAGACGTGCCACGCTACAAAGGTTACGTTCTCCCGCATCCAGCTTGGAGTAACCAGGCAGATCTGCAAGAAAAATTGTTGCTGTTATATAAATATAGAACTCAAGCCTGCCTGTTAGATATTAGAATTATGTTTACAATATGCTGATTATCTCAGACAATATCGCGTTCCCATAATTCAATTTGATTCTATGATTTCTTCACTTGTTATTGCTTACCCGAAATTTCCATGGGACTTGCCTTGCGCCGCGGATACAACATATATACCCTGGAGCTGCTGCCCTGCGGCAGCTGGCCAGCATTTTGATTATTTTCGTAATGATGCACCAATTGTTGCCAGTCGTGAGCATCGTTTTGCCGTTGTCGCGCATAATCTCGCTGTGCCTGCTGTCGCTGCTTGTAGAGCCGCGTATAAAGTCCGCCGCCGTAGAGCGTGCGTACACCATGTTGGCGTATGTCATGGAGCCAATGGAGACGGTTCTGTAGTTGGCGAAAATAGCTCAGCGACTCCACCAACAGGTCAAACTCGGTGGGCTCACAGACTTGCATTAGGGCGAGGAAGCGCATGCAGCTGGCATCGCTGCGGAACGCACTCACATACTTGGATATCCAGCTGACTGTACGATTGGGCATGATGAGGCCATGATCGCGCATTATTTTGTAGCGTCGCTGGCGTTCTCTACAAATACATTGACAGGTTAATAAAGTCGGTTGTAATTGACTGACAGGGTCAAAGGCACCTCAGGCGATTGTTATAGGCACGGACAAGTGCGCACTGCAGCTCGTCGACAAGTTCCTTGTCTGGTGATTCACTTTCGGGCTCATCATCCGCGCCAACGCGTTGCTGATCCACCATTATAGACAGCAGACCCTCCGCGGAGGCATCGTAGGGTGTGTCAAAGTCGCCACGGGCACAGCGGTAGCCGGCATTCAGCTTAAACTGCATCGATGCGATGTCATCGTGGCGGGGCGGCTCGAGGGATCTCATTTTGAACACATATGGCATACGCTCGGGCAGGTAACAATTGTGCGCGTGCTGCAAACCCAATAGCCGCTCAAAGATGCCACCAAAGTAGCAATCGTGATAGTGCCTACGTATCTCCTCCGGCTTATGCCGCCGCTCAAGGGCATCCGCGATAGCATCCCAGTTGCCGTAGCCGTGTGCGCGCAGAGCCTGCAACAGTGTGCGCTCATCCCGGGCCGACCATCCGGGCTCCGTGGAAAATACCTGAATATCGTCCCGCACTATAATATAGGCGTGGCAGTTGCGATGGGCGCCAATTTGCCGACCGCGTGCAAAGCACTGCAAGCAGACCAAGACGTCAAGGCACTCGGAGCACTTAATGTAGGGTTCTGTGAGGCTACCATGACATGTCGCACAAGTGGGCCCGGTTGTGTGCCTTGTCGTGTGCGCACTATTGTCAACGCTGGAAGCTATTTCCTCTAATCTTTTGTGAAATGCCTGCGCATTAAAAAATACTGTTGTACGCTTTGTTCTTGTATCGGTGCGGGCGCGGGCAATTTTTACGGTGGATCGCTGGTCCTGGTGTGTGTTAGGCCTTGCTGCAAAGAGGTATTTGAATGTGTTATGGTAAACATGCGGCGCCATGTGGCTCCCGTAAAACTCTATTCGCTTCACTTGTAAGTTGCATTTTTGGCAATTTTAGAATATGTTGTTATTATCGTTACCTTTTGGAAACTGCAAGTCCGCGGCATCTTCATCCACCATATCCACTGGGTTCATGAACGACATAATTGTTGACTTTGCCTTTTGTGTTGTGCGTTAATATATTAAACAATTTCTAAACAGATTGGATCTGTTTTCTCTCAATGCCGCTTTTTTAATGAACCAGGGATGGCGAAAACGACGCTTGTGCTCGTAAACGACGTATTTTAATATTTTGCAACACTGTGAATGTAGCTGTAAAATACTCGTGATTATTTACAAGTAGTGTGCATTCCTCTCGAGATTTACAGCACTAGCTGCACTTGCCGGCGCACATTTCTGTTTCTAGTGGCATATTGTTATATGTTTGAAAAGAATCTGATTTGGGCGAGTTATGAGTGACGTTGATATTGCAGAATCTATCAACGATCCAGCTGAGAACCTTCCCAAATACTGTGATTTCTTTAAATATTTCCTAGTCGAGGAGTTGGTGCTGGAGCCCGATTACCGACAGATTCACTACGGAAAGTGCGCAGTAATTGGACGTTTGTGCGCAATTCCTGATTACTTTAAACTAGAAAACGTGACCGTGCCTCACCTGCCCAGGTAACTAGCACCGACAAATTCTTTATCTAGACTTAACAGTTTTTTCCTCCTAGTGACTACAGGCTGCCCACTGGAGCGGTGTCCCTGCTGCTCCTGAACTTCACCTACGACAGCACAAGCGTCGAAAGTCTGGCGCATGGTGGCTACTGCATTGTGCGCGGCGAGATTGTGCTATGCAACGTGCAGAAGCCGAACAGTCCTACGTTGACCACACGGGGCTTGCATGAGCAATTGCTTCAGCTGGGCGACAACGAGAAGCTGAGGTCTGCATTTCTGGAAAAGGTTCAGCAAACGCACAGGCCTGCGCTCAGCGTGTGGCACACGAACCGCATTGACCAGGCCGAGGAGCTCATTCAACGCCGGCTAGAGATTCGACTGCTCTGCAAGGACACGGGCCAATGAAATGAACTCTCATTATTTGAGCACATCCCGCAGCAATCCTCAGTTTTACACATTCTCACAGCGCTTTGAGCGAGGCGCGAGCTGTGATAGCTTCAGCAGTTTAGATCCGCAGTGGAAGGCCCAGGCACAGCAAGCAGCCTGGTTGGATTTCTGGCAACGTGAAGGACACGAGTTTCTCGAGCAGAAGTGGCATGAACAGCATCCGGAATATAAGCAGGAAATTGAGTTAGCCACGCCCGAGGAGCGCACAGCTTGGCAAGAGCTGTGGGAGCGGCACGCCTGCGATCAAAGCGCTCACTTCTGGCACATTTTCTCCTGTGTCTTCGAGAACTACGAAAGGGACCTGTCAAATGGCTTGCAAGGCGTTGGCCAAACATTAGACGAGATAAATGAGAATTTGTCGCTTTTGGATATTCGCCAAAGCGACGACAGTGCAGCAAGTGCTGAAAGCGGCGGCGAGGACGAGCAATACCTTACCGCCAACGACGATCCCGAGTTGCTCGACGAGGAGCAGCAGCTGAGGCTGCTCGGCTTACCGACGTCGTTTGGTGTGCCAGGAATTGCCAGGAAGCGACGGAAACCAAGACAGCAGCCTGCCAGCGAATCCGAGAGTGATAACGATCCAAATTTGGTAATCATGCCTGACGATAAGGACGAGCTTCTGCATGGCGTGCAATCGCGCGTCATTAAGAAAAAGAAGAAGCCACAGAAGAACTCGAAAGTCCCACAGTTTATGCGGGACGACATTTTGTTGCGTAAGTATTGGTTCCGGCGCTTTTCGCTGTTCTCTCGCTTTGATCAGGGCATTCTGTTGGATCGCGAGAGCTGGTTCTCCGTAACACCAGAGAAGATCGCCAAGCAGACGGCTCGGCGTCTGGCCAGCGATGTGGTCGTGGACGCCTTTTGCGGCTGCGGCGGCAATGCCATACAATTCGCCAACACCTGCAGCCGCGTGATTGCCATCGACATTGATGCCAACAAATTGGCCATGGCGAAGCAGAACGCTCGCATATACGGCGTGTCGCACAAGATTGAGTTTATACACGCGGACTTTTTGCAATTTGCCCGCGCCACACGCCTGCGACCCGACGTTGTGTTCCTAAGCCCGCCCTGGGGCGGACCCGATTATCTGAAACAGGCCACATTTGACATTGAACAGCATCTGCTGCCGCTGGGCGCCACCCGGTTGATGCAGCACGCCCGACGTCTGACGGACAATATTGGCTTCTTTTTGCCACGCAACTCGAACATACAACAGGTGATCGCACTCTCGCACATTGGCCAGCAGTGCGAGGTGGAGCACAATTATTTGGACACGCGTCTGGTGGCGATAACAGCCTACTACGGCGACAGCCTACTGAAGAGTCCACGGCCGGATAATGAACCATAATTTTTAGCCTAAACTTTGGTTGATTAATTACCACTTTATTTGAATTAAGTCAAATATGTTTTATTACTAATTTACCTTTAAATGTTAGTTGCAGGCTCTGAAAGTCTTGCACTTGTCACTTTTTTTATTTAGTTTTAAGTTGGAAATTTGTTTAGTTTAATTATAGAAATGTACCTTTATGTAAGCCCCATATTTATAGCTAGTTATATTTATGTATTGCTATTATGTTTGTTGCATTTGCAACGAGCTTAAGTTGAACTGTGACCACATTGATAACAACTTGACTAATGAACAAAGTCCGGTCCCTTTTTGCCAAATCCCGCCGTATTGGTGATGTGCACAACAGTTGCCAAGCCACCAAAGGGCAAAGCGCAAGCATTCTATCCAATTTAGACAGCTTAAAATGCTCTCCTGTCCGCTTTCCGTTTGCGTTTAGTTTGCACTGACCAATGGTCATAACCGTAACGTCTCTCCCCTCATCCTTTGTCGCACTGTGACTTTTAATTAAAACGCAAACGGAACAAAACGAGCGTCAATTATTAAGAACTTTGTAAAAAGAACTGTAAGCCTGGCAACCAACCGGGCGGCGGGGCAATTAACATGTTCATGTCACAAAAGTTGCCCATAAATTCCGGCGTAGACTAGATAACAAACGCCAGCAACCCCTTTCGTTGTTAACAACATACTTACATCGTCCTCTTCAGAGGGTGCGGGGGGAAGGAGAGGAGAGGAGCTTGGGCGTAATTGCGGAATTTATGGCTGTGCTAACTGGCGCTGGCATCCATTTGGGCGCCGCAGTTGCTCTTGCTTCGGATTTCGGCATTTCTCTTGTCAGTCTAATTAGTTAGACAAACATATTAGTGGACTATTTCCGGCGGAAGATGGAGCTCTAGAAATTTTAAGTGCACGCTTTTGTGCTCTGATTTTTATTGAGTAATGGCATATAAACATTTGGATTAATGGAAAAGTTAAGCTCAACTGAATTCGAGTATTTTATTTTGATTAATGCGAGATATACTAAGATATGAGTTATATTTAGATACTTCTTCTAAGTATTTGAAAGACTTTAGTGGACGATATGGAAAAAGAATTATTGAACAAAAGTGTTTTATTCTTTAAATTTTAAACTTTATCACCAAGGTTTTTTTTTTCTTTTCTTATGTTTTGATAATTTTTAAATTTACTATTTGAACAATCGCTCAAAATATAAATTTTATTTATCTTATATAGAAAAATAATAGAATCGTGTTGAACAAAAGTGTTATATTCTTTAAATATTAAACTTACCTAAGAATAACGTTTTTTTTTTATTTTTTGATAATTTTTTAAATACTCGCACGATAGTCTAAAATATGCTATAGCTTCACCATTTGAACAATCGCTCGAAATATACATTTTTGTTGTTACAACTTTTGTTTAAGTAATCTCTGAATAATTAAGATAAAAATATTATATCACCACTTACTTTTGGTACTGTGCATAAAATTGTCTTTTCTTTTTGCCAAATTCATTTAATTCATTATTTTTAAGCAAATAAGAACCTTTAGTCGGGAGTTCTTAACTTTTTTGTCTCTGGTTTTTTATAGGTTCTGAGATTGAGGCGACAGACGAAGTGACGGACGGACGGAAGGACGGACGGGCAGAAAGAATATATATACTTAATAGGGGTCGGAGTTGCTTTCTTATGCCTGTTACATTTGTACAAAAACATAATATCATTTTACTAATTTTCAGGGTTCAGGGTATAAAAACAAACTGTTTTACTTTCTTGAAAATATAAGGTTTGTTTTTAGGAATCCACAAAAACTAAGAGGTACATTTAAGTGATTCCCAAAACGTTAACAAATTCAAAACAGTTTTGTTAATTAACTAAAAAACAAAGTGTCATGATTGAATGTTTGGTAAACTAAACCGAAATAGCTAAGAATCTGAAATTTTAACTGTAGTTAACTTATCTGCCGTAGCTGCACGTTAAGACTTGGTTTTGGGGAAGTTCCACCCGCAAATGCGGAAAATGGGGGGAAAACGGTAAAATTCTTGTTTACCAACTGCTTGGTCTCAAAACTGTTTTGAAACTTGGTGGATTCATTTAATTTAAGCTAGAAAATGTGAAAATATGAATTTTCGGCTTAGATTTCGAATCTTGTTTTATATATTTTTTTTTTTGCGATCTTTGTAGTTCATCCCGCTACTTTATTTACGACCTCTGATCGAGTCACAACTTGAAATCCTTAACCTATTTATATTTGGCTGTCAGTTTGTGAACACAACATAAATCAGCACTCGACGATATTTATTGTCCGTTCGTTCCGGCTGCTCATCACGCTTAATTAGCCGCGCCCGGAGACTGCACCTGCACAATCGCATTTTCCGCTGGCGAAAACTCTGCTGCCTAATCGCATTTGGTATTGTGAAAACTTGTAGCACAAATAAACCACCCCGCCGTTTAGGTTTTCGGCCGGAGATTAGACTCATCGTCAAGTGGCTGAAATTACGGCTCAAATATGCAGTCATAGTTGCAGTCGGGTTTTTTTTCGCTTTCACGGGCCCGGGTGACCATTTATCACGGCCGTTGACAATATTACGCTCAAATTAAATGGCGTAATAAAAGGGTGACTTAATTTGTTTTTTCTTTTTTTTTTTTCGTTTTCTGGCCCGGACAGGCGCCGGCACTCACGATTACGGCAGATGAGCTGCGAACACGTGTTTGCTTTCCAATCAAATGCCCGGTCTTCAAAACAACAAATGATTATCTTTCTTGTTATTGAAATTTTGTTTGTCAACCCCCTCCGGCGACGACAATATATGCGGCGGCTGTAAAACGGCAATTACGCGTGTCTAATATAACGGGACCAGGCCTTATAGACCTTATAGACCAGACCCATGTAGATTTGAGTAGCCGATAATGCCTCGCGATTGACGCGTGACGCAATTTGTTTGTCTTTTATTAGCAATTACAGCACAGCTCCCCCATTTTTTATATATTACTCATTGACAATGTTAAAAATATCTGACGAGCTTCTTGAGTAATTCACAGTTTATTTTTGAAGAATATTAATATATAATATAATATATAATATAATATAATAATAATATAACATAATAATAATATAATATATATAATAAATAATATAATATATTTAAATGACTTTAAATTCAGCTCATTTTCTCCAAATTGGGAAACGCATGATGCTATTTCATTAAAGAATTCTAAAAAAAGTTCAAGCAAAAATTAAAAAGTTGATTTAACATTGAAGGATAATTCTCCATTATAGATAGATATATTTATATATATATATATCTAGACAAGCTTTTGCTCTTGAATGCTATCCATCCATTTATATATTCTTTTTAATTTAAACATTATACTTTTAAATTTTTCATCAAAGTACAAAGAATAGTTAATTATTATATAATTAAAAATATTTAAATAATTAATTCCCTATATAGGGTATATTCTGGATGGATATAATTCCTAAACTGAACTGTTTTCAGTTTATGATAAGTATGTAAAAAAAAAAAATAAAATAAATAAAGAAGTTCAAATTTAGCTATATCTCTGTTAACAATGTAAATAGATTTGATTGAAGACTTCGAATATTGACTCGTAAGAAAAATCTATTTCCTCTGCAGTTATTAACGCTTGACAAATGATTTCTACAAAACGATTTAAATTTGTTTCTTTTATTTAGCTTTTAATTTTATAAATTCAATTATATCTAATAAGTTTTTAAAGATCTTTACAATTAGTTTTCTAATTGTAGCCAAAAATATTAATTTTAATTTTAAGCAACCAAATATACTCCTTAGAATTGGATATTTTTTAATAATTATAATTTATAAGTTATCAAATCATTAAAGCAGCTGAATCTGGCCCTATAAGTAGCTTGAAATTTCTTAGCCGAATCCCTATAATTAATTAAATTATACCATAAATGTGCACATGAAAAAACCTTCTGTTTAAAAATGCTTCTATAATTTTTCCTTTTTAATAAGAGCCTATCTGATAAGTTCGCCAACAAAAAAGAAGAAGTTCGTCGAGAAACAAATAGTTACGCCCACAAAAAAAAAAAAAAAAGATGGCGGCGCATGTGACTTATTGATTAAGCGTTATTCATGGCCTGGGCATTAAAATTAATAAACGTTGCCAATGTATGTGCCGACAACAACAACAACAACAATAACAATAACCAGTAACTGGCACTTATATATGTACACCAGCAGCAACCACTACAATAACAACCTTGTCTCGGGGCAATAAAAAATGCCAAGTATATCACAAAATAAGAGCAATAATATTTAATAAATGTGCACACACACACACACAAACACACACACAGAGCATACAATATGTTTTTACTTTGGTGGTTGAATGCGAAAAACCATAAATAAATACAGACACACGCAAAAACACACACACACACGCACACATACAAAAGCGGCGAGCAAGAAGTAAGCGCATAAAAAGATTAAAGCGTGTTGGCATCTCCGTGTCTATATAGGTAGGCAGACTTTCTGTGTATGTGTATATGTGTGCGTGTGTGTGTGCCCTTTTGTTTGAATGCTTGAGCGAGGCGGACTGGGAGGGGGGGTCGGCGGCCAGCTAAACTACGCAACCCTGGCAGGCAGCGCAGCCCAACCCTCATTCTTCATGGCATTTCGGTGAAAAAGAATGCTTTTGATCTTCACAAGCGAATGATTTTTAATATGACTTTTTGCTGCTGATGACGCTGAGGTCGTCTGTTCTTGTTGTTGTTGTTGTTGTTGTTGTCTTGTGCTCTAAAATATGTTTACTATATGCTCAATTCATGCTCGCAGGCAGTCAATCAGTTCGTGTCCTTTAAGGCGATTCGTCTGATTTTAAAATGAATGCAGCATGTAATTAATAAGCTTAATTAAACGGCAATACAAAGTAGTTTATGGCAGACACACATTTGCTCCCACACAGACGCACACACACACACGTTTACATACACACTCCCACACACACACACACAGAGAACCTGCCATGCCTAAAATTAGGCAAGCTCAAAGGGCCTCATTTGCGCCTTGAGGATTTAGTGGGCGGCGAGAGGGGGGGGGGGGTGGCGGCATTACCGCACTGGGATAATGATGCTAATTTGTTGGTTTGGCCAAAAGAGCAAACGGCATGTTTGGAATTTCAATTAATTTCCATAATTTCCAACGCTTTA